CGTCTTCTCCTAAATCAGCCAAAACACTAAAGTATCTCATTTTTCTCACCAAACCGAAAAAGACTTCGAAGTAAATTTGACAACATTGCTTCTAAATATGCTTTGAAGTGGTGATGGGATATAAAGTAAACCTTAAGAAGACACATATTATTGTAGTGGCTTGTGAGGAGGAAAAAGTTAAAGAATTTACGAAGTTGGTAAACTGTGGGATACTCAATCTTCCAATCAAGTACTTGGGGATGCCGATGATGGATAATGCTAGACCAACAGTTTTATGGGACCCTCTTATCCAAAGAACGCAATATAATCTTGATTCATGAAAACACAAATTGTTATCATTGGGTAGTTGATTGAGTAGTTGCGGGTAACGAGGAAAAATATCATTTTTTACTGGATTGGAGATAGGCCTAGGTTAATTTTCTCATTTGTTTGCTAAAGTTACATCTAAGAGCAAGATGGTTGAGGGAAGAGGTTTTAATAAGATTTGGGACATAAGATGTTAGAATGGTGGATAATTCTCTTATTAATGAATATATCCAATGCTTGATGTTATTGACACAGTACTAATATTGTCAAGAAGTGGAAGATAATGTTGTTTGGGAACCTAACAAAAATGGAGAATACACAGTGAATTACACTATATTTGATGATTGTCATAAATGGAAAGATGTAGACGTGGCAAAGATATGGAAATGACCTATCCCCATGAAGCTCAGAGCTTTTGTGTGACTTTTGAAGTTGAAAAAACTGCTAATAGTGTATATGTTGATAAACAAAATGTAAACTTTTAATAAATATTTGTATAATGTAGAAAAGTGATGAATAGACCATTTATTCCTCAAATGTTGTTTTGCAAAGATGATAGGAATTGGTTATGGGTTGGTTGGGCATATAAGGTGATATTCCTTTACAAGCTGAGAGGTTAATTGGTCATTAGAAGGTAAATGGTGTTGGAAAAAAAAGCAGGATAATTTGGAAGGTAGTTAAAGTCACTTTATCATGGGAGTTGTGGAAGTAGAGAAATAGAAGATGTTATGAAAATATTGTTAAAACAAATGTAGAGGCGTGTGAACAAATAAGAGTTGCAATTGCCGAGTGATTATCAATTAAAGAGAAGTGGTGGGGGTTTTTAGGATAGATTTGATGTATAATATGAAGGTCTTACTTGGTGAAAGATCAGTAAAGTTGGGGTTTGGAAAATACAAAAGGGTGAATCAAATCAAATTTTGATGGTAGTTTTTTGAGAAATTTAGGACCAATTGAAATTGGAGACATCATTCGGTACTTTCATGGGGTGGTGTAGACAAAATATTATGGTCCAGTAGGGATAATAACTGCGAATGAAGCTAAGTTCAGATCAATGCTTTAAGGTCTAAAGTAAGAGAAAGGTTTTAATATGGGAGTGATGGTGGAGGGAGATTCGTTGAATGTAATAAAAAGGATGAAAAAGGAGGCTGGATTGCCATGGTTTTTTATTGATTTTGTTGAGGGAATTGTTAGATTGTTGGATGGGTATGGAGTATTATTCATTTGTACACATGTATTGAGAACGAAATATGGAGGCGGATGCTCTAGCAAAAACAGGAGTTACTACTGATGCTTTACTGATGTGTAATTTTTTATTTTTGAGTTTCAGCATTTCAGTTTTTTGAATGAAAATTGTCTTGTTGTGTTGGTCAAATGGCATTCATGGTGATGTAATTTGTAAAGGATTATGTAATAAAATTGTTGCTATTTCTAAAAAGGAGTGAGAGAGGGTAGGTGGATAGTTTAGAGAGAGCGAGGGGGTGGTTTTAACATGATTTCCATGGGCAAACAGCGGGTTTACCTTTTTTTATCCTTTTGGGTGGTCCGCCTTTATTCCCACCACTAAGCTAAAAAGGAGTAGATGTGTCCATTTTAATTACATGTATTAATCAATAATATACAACAGTTTCTCTTTTTAAGCACACGAATGTAGAGTCAACTACTGAGATCACTTGGCCTCATAAATTTGAGAGAGTAGAGTATAATACATATGACTGTAGACAAAGTGCTGACAAGTGTCATCTCTCACCATCCATTCAGAGGATGGGTGGTGATTTAGAGTAGAATATAATGGAACTGGAAAAATGATTATATGAGCTAAACATGTCCATAACTATAAAGAAAAATATCATTTGGACGGGTGAAACGGCCACTGCTAACGGTTGACATTTCACAACGCCATATCTAGTGGTTAAATTTTAATTTTATATATTTTAATTTTTTATTTGAATAAATTATTTGCATGAAATTATAAAACATCTTAAATAAAATAACTAAAATACTTCTAGATTTATTTTGGTGAATTTTTTCATTAATTTTTTTTTTTTTATTTAATTTCATTTTAAAAATAAAGCTAAAGCTCAAATTTCATTTTAATATTGGTTTTAAATAATTAATTAAAATTAAATTATTTTTGGCCCTTGGATGAGGTTGGTTCGATCTGAACTACTAAATGGTGCATGTGCTGTTGTGCACCGAAAGAGGCGAATTGCTTGGATGTGAGCATCGATAAAATTCTGATTTTGAGAAAAATAATGTTTTGATCAGTTTTTCAAAACCCAGATTAGTAGGGGTGGATCGTCTACTCAATATATCCATCTTAGATGGCTCTATCAATGATCTAAATTGGTTTGAATTGGTGATACAAATAAATCAAAATAAAAAAATAAATATTAAAATAGAATTTACAAAGGTTCGGATTTAGTGGGCCTAGAAAACATAAGCTTAAAAATCAAAAAGCAAAAATATCTATGTACTTTCGTTTAGAGCGAGGTTCTAAACCATCAAATTGGAGCCCACCTCAAAAATTTCACTAGAAGATGCTGTTTTGATGTTCAAATATCCTTAAATTGATCATCTCGATATCAAGATGTATGGACATGAGAAAAAACTGGATTTCAAGTTTTGGAAATAATGCATTTTCTAATGCATTTTTGGACTTTCACTTTTCAATATTTTAAAGTTTCCATAGATATGCCCGATCTACACTATTTTTGAAGATTTGAATTTTATAATTAAATATAAAATATATATTTTAATAATATCTCAAAGATTTCCAATATTGAATCTATATTTCTCGATATCATTTGAAAGTGTACTTTACTTTAATTGTTTAGATCCAGGACTTGTACAAACCGCATCAAAGGGTGTGGTTTGTATAGAGCCGAGGCTCTAAACAATCAAAATACAACACACTTTCAAATGGCATTGAAAAATATGGTTTCAATAGTGGAAGTCTTTGTGATAGCCTTAAAATATAATTTTATCTTTAATTATAAAATTTAAATCTTAAAAAATATCGTAGATTGAGCAGATCAATGAAAACTTGAAAATCTTAAAAATCAACGATCTAAATATACGTTACAAAATGCACTATTTTCAAAACTTAAAATCACTTTTGTATTATGTCAATGCATCTTGATGTTGAGATATTCAATTTGAGGATATTTGGGCATCAAAACAACTTATTCTAATAAAATTTTAGAGGTAGGCTCTAATTTGATTGTTTAGAGCCTCGGCTCTATATAAACTTTTTCCATAAAGAAAGACAGGTAAAAAAGCATCGGAACCATATTTGATTTTCTTATTTTAATATGAATCTCAACATCGCTCCCTGCTGGCATGTTTCATCCTACCAAAAAAAAGAGAAGAAAAGGCAAAGGACATGGTTTTTATGAGTCCATGTAGAGATGCGTCACCTCTTAAAGATATATTTTTTAGATATATGATTTGATATAATTTTTAAGGACATGTAATCTCTAATGGAGATCATAAATATGAAAAAGTAAATAAAATTTGAAAAATAAAAATAATAATTTCAGTAAGAAATCATTTGGACCGTTAGTTTCAATTGTTTTTAGATAGACCACCTATTTGCATCCATCTTTAAAATGGATGCTTTATAGTTTGGGGACAGCAAATATAGAAATGCAGTCCCCGCCGTATGAAATAATTTTCCTAGTCTCAATTGCTTTTGGATGCACCATCTCTCTCTCTCTCTAACCCCGTCTCTTTCACTCTATAAGCCAAACCCCATTTTCCCATAACGTCTGAGGCCTGTTTTCCCACTTGATAGACCCTCTCTCTCTCTCTATTCAATCACTGTAGGTTTGGATCCCGGTGCTCATGTCGTCGAAACATCGCGAAAATCACATCCGAAAAGGCCCATTTCTCCGAAATTCCCATCAATCCAACCGCTCTCTGATCATCTGAACCTCCCTCTCTCATTCTCTTCTTGGCCCCATCATCAGAATTCAAATACGTTTAGGGGTCAATGTTATAATTCCCATTTGGGATTCTTAATTTTGATAATTAGGGCTTCCTTTTTGTGGCATTTGAGGTGATTTTGGATGCGGTTTCTTCTCTGATCTAGGGTTTCCGGGACTGGGTTCAGCGAAAATGGCTGTAAGGGCTCCAGCTCCAGGCATGGAGGTTTTCGATGCTTATTTTAGAAGGGCGGACTTGGATCAAGATGGGAGGATCAGTGGAGCTGAGGCTGTTGGCTTCTTTCAGGGTTCCAATTTGCCGAAACACATACTAGCGCAGGTTTATAATGATCCCTTCTTTTGGTTTTCAATAACTTATAATTTTTATTTATTTTTGCCATTTTTTATGGTTTTCACAGTGTTTCTCGAGGTTTTGGTTAGTGGGGGTTTTCTGGTTTTTCATTATCTATGTGTTTTTTTGGGTTCATGGGGTAGTTTTGGATGCAGGTTTTAGATATTTCATCATGTTTAATTGGCTTTTCTTGTTATTCTGATAGAACTTATTGAGTAACTTCTACGTATAATGGATTGAATTATGTCGATTAGTGGTTAAAGGCATGATTTGTGATCTGATTAAGATCATAGGAGAAATTCCCCCTACTAATTTGATATATATTTTTTCGAGTTTAATATTATTGAGCTTGAATGATTCAGGTGGAGGATGTTTCTGGGTCAGTAATGGGTGTTTCAACACTAATATAGATCTCTCTGCCACTCATGACCTTAACCATAAGATGTATTAAATGCCCTACACTATCACAAAATGATTAATGTTGTTTAATCTTATGGAAATTTACTGGCTGATACCCTTAATTAAAATGGAATTATATGAAATACTTAGAAACACCCTACATGTGTTGAGATATTTGTACTTTTTGAAGTTTTTTTCTCAAATGCTGCTATTTATTGCATTCAGTGGAACAACATCGTTGGCTATTTTATACTTGTTTATTGCTTATTCTACGGCAAGCATCGGTGGTTGATAGCTATTTGAAGTTTTGAACATATGGCATATAGTTACTTCTATGATTGTTTTGGTTTCGTATGTATTTTCCCTAAGCTTTGTCAATGTCTATATATAAAGATATTATTCATCATCTCAAAATACAGTTGGTTGTGGGAAAGTTTTGAATCATTTCATATTTTCATGAATCCATAGTATTCCAAAAAAGAAAAAGCATTTAAAATAGGTAGAAGTGTAGAACATTTACCTCCTGGAAAAAAAGATAAAATTTTAGGGTATCAATTGTACTACGAACCACCTTCTTCCACATCAGTTCTCACATCAATCACTAACAATCATGCAAAATATTAAAAAAGCATCTCTCTATTGCTTTTGAGAAACCATGGCTTTGTCAATAGCAATGGATTTTGGCAAACCATGGCTTTGTTTCCCACAATCATTGCATCTCTGAGAAAAAGCAATGGTTCTTGGGAAACCATGGCTCTTACTCACACTTGTGAAAGCTTAGAAGAGCCTTTTTCTCAAAGGCATAATGAAAAAGCTTAGAACACCAAACTTGTTTCTCAATAGCCATAAATGAAAAGCTTAGGAATACCAAACTACTGAGCTTGTGATTGGGTTATATGAGCTAGTAGTTGGATTAGAACTGAGAGAGTTAGGGTGCTGGACTTTGTTAGAGGAAAGTATAAAAGGGAAAAGAACTTGCAAATGGAATTTGTTGTTAGGGATGGCTTGTAAAAGACTTCCCCAGCGCCCACTCCCTTATGTGCGTGTATATAGTGTAGTCATGACTGTTGGTCTGTATCCTTGTCGCAGAAAACAACATGAAAGTATTTCAAGGTAGTTTAAGGTAGTGGGCTTGCATTTTGAATCCCATATGTCCCCCTGATACTTGCTCCTTGTCACCAATTTTTCATGCCTTCTAGGCAATGTGGCTCTTCTCTTTTCAGTGATAAGTTTCATTTTCGTTGTTTTAGTCTGTATTACTGCATAAGTGGTCCATATTTTCAAATTTCTCTACATGATGGGTTGCTATACCCAGGGCAAGCTCTACTGCCAGATATTTCAGTGAATATGCATGATCAGATGCTGACAACAAATACGTGTGTACTACACATAGAAGCTCAAATAGAGGGATACATGCCTGCATAGATAATAAATATTTATACATGTAATTCTATGGTCTTGTATGCATGCATGCATGTGTGTTGGTGTGTGTGGGGCTGTCTGTGTGTGTGTGTGTGTTTGCATATATCAGTAGGTAAGAACTTATATAATAATACTTGTTATGTTCCATGTTATATCTGTGTGAGTGCGTGCATGTGGTTTTTGTTTATTAAATTTGTGGGAAACACAATATTTTAAGTTTTCCCAAGTTCCTGTTTTGTACCACATCCAAGAATTTTTCACGTTTCATCAGAGGAAAAAGTTTATATAAGGTTGCAACCTTTTACTGTAGAAAAAAGGCACGTGTCAAAAAGGTTGTTCCGACATTGAAAAACCATCTAATTAATCATCTTAACCTCAAGATGTATGGATGTGGGGAAAAAAAAGGAGGATTTTAAAGTCCCAAAAATGATACATCTTGTAATGAATCATCTGGACTGTCCATTCTCAAGATTTTTGTATGTTTGTAGATCTGTTCAATCTATACGATTTTTTGATTTTTTAATTTCATAATTTGATGTAAAGTAGATTTTCAGGCCATCATTGAAATTTCTGCCTCCAAAATTACATCTTTTGTTGAGCTTTGGAAGTGCGCCTTATTTGGATTGTTTAAGGTTGAGACCTTATACAAACCACATCCTACCAAATTAACCATGCATTTAGATCAGGATTTCCTTCATGTTCCCCATGTGCTTCTGTTGAATTTCTGGGATGCATGCTTTGTTTGATATTCGTACTACTTCTTGTAGTTGTTTGACTTCTGTTTTGTTGAATTATGCGATTATCAAGTACCAATTTTGTACTATTGTTTACAAAACCTACTTGTCCCTTCTGGTGACCATTACTGATAGGCATGGATGGGTGTGCTTGAGACAGTGCAAACTCGGTTCTCATTTTCCAAGCTCAAAGTGTTACTGGATCAAAATAAATTATTCAAACATGATATTCAAATTATTTAGTTATCATTTATTTATTTTGATGTTAATGATTTGTGGTTTTACTTTTTGTTTTTCACTTTGAGAAGTATGATGCTATATTATTGTTTACTAATTTGAAATCGTTGGTCAACATGAAGGTGTGTTATACTTGCCCTTTTTGAATTATCTTGATTGTAATTGCATTTGCTCAGTTTGTCCAACAATTTTGGCATGATTGAATTAAGAAGGCCTCAAAAACATTCTGAAATGTGATGCTATAAAATGTGTATGTTCTTCTTCGAGCAGCTTCTTGTCAGAACTTAGCTTCTTGTCAGAACTTTACATAATGAATAATCAATGGTTGATCATTGGACTATGGATTGGTTTGTCATCTCGTAATTGTAGATATACGTAGTAGCTTATGGCAGATGGTTCATAGTCACTCAACCTCTTAGCTTTGTTTTTCATACATAAGTCATACTACCAATGTGGATGGGGTTTGAGGTAGGTGTTTCTCTTAGTATATGATCCAGATCAGCCACCGGAGTATTTGGTTAACCTTCTCCTAGTTTTATTATTTTAAATCAGTGTTTCAAAACCCATCAAGTCCAACTCTGATTTGGCTGAGCCACTCGGACTTGGCACGAGTATGAGCTACTTAGACCTCGTAGGTGGGCTGCTATGTCTGAGTGGAAAACCTTTGGAACTGGCTTATTCACACCTGTTCCTGGTATTTGTTTGTTATTTTTTTTGACTTGACTGAGTCTGACCTGCTGACTCGTCCGAATCTTACCTACTGCCTTGGACTTGGGCCCTGCCCGGTTCCAGGCCCAAGTCCTAGTTTGAAAATGCTGATTTAAATTTTCTGATGATATATTTAGTGTTTCTGTTATCAATTTGTGCATCGGTGAGCTTTACCAGAATAATGAGTCACTTTATCACTGATCTTATATGGTATGACTCTGGCAGTCCTAGCTTGTTTTCGATTATGGCTTATCTATCCAAAGAGAAACTTGAGCCCATACATTTGGCAAAACTCCAATTTCACTTTTAGAAGAGATCTTCCTCATATGTTGTGTGTATACCTTTTACTAATATTTATTGCTCTTATTATCACGAACATTGATATTATTTAGAATGCGCGGTCCTTTGTTTCTTGTTGATTGGTAACAAATTTTCATAAATAAATATTGTTGAACAAGTTTATGTTTGCTTCTCATGTACAAAAATGAGTCTATATGTCATACTCCGCAAAAGAAATTAAGGTGAGGTGACTACATGGTCTTCTTGTGTTTTAGATATTCTATCGATATTGCAAAAGAAAATAATTTGTTCCCTTCTTGTTAACATCCTACTCTTTCTACAGATATGGATGCATGCCGATCAGAATCGGAGTGGTTTCCTTGGCCGACCTGAGTTCTACAATGCTTTGAGACTTGTAACTGTGGCACAAAGTGGGCGTGAGCTAACACCCGACATCGTGAAGGCTGCATTGTTTAGTCCGGCTGCCTCGAAAATCCCTGCCCCTCAAATAAATTTCGTACCTGGGGCCCCCATCCCTCAAGTGAACCCAGGGGCCCCACCTCAACCTCAAATAAACTCCATGGCACCATCAGGCCCTCAAAATGTTGGTTTCAGAGGACCTCAGGCAATGCCAAACATGGGTGCGACTCAACAATTTGGTGCCGCTTCAAATACTCAATTCATGAGGCCTTCAACTACACCTGTTGGTTCTTCACCTCCAATGCCTGTAGCCAATCCAGGGCTCCCTGGTGCTAGTGTAGCCGGGGCCCGCCCTCCAAACCCTAACATGTCCACTGAATGGCTAGGTGGAAGAATAGGTGCATCATTGGTGGGGCCTGGCCCACCGGGCCCCACCAAAGCCAGCGTGGGTCTCACCTCGACCCAAGATGGATTTGGTCAAGCCCCATCTTCTAGTACCACCACACTTCCGCCAAAACCTTCTATGGCTAACGATTCAAAAGGCTCAACAGTAACTGGAAATGGGTTTGCTTCTGATTCAATTTTTGGTGGGGATGTTTTCTCAGCGGTATCATCTCAACCAGTTTCATCTCAACTAAAACAAGATGGTTTTGTCAGTCCCACATTTTCAGCTAGCAGTGCAGCTAGCTCAAATGCCATTGTCCCTGTTGAATCCTCCACGTCTCAATCTTCAGTTAAGCAGAGTCAAGTTGATGCACTGCAAGGACCACTGGCTTTGCAACCGAGTGGTGGTGGGCTCCAGCGGGCCCCATCCTTGCCCAAGCCAGGGGCCCCACTGGGTACCACACCTAGAGCCTCTACATTGTCTACGACTGGTGTTTCAGCGGTGCCTGCCTCTGGTTTTTCTGTTGGGGCTATGAGTTCTGCCCCTACAAACCAGTCTCAACTTCCATGGCCAAGGATTACTCAATCTGATATCCAAAAGTACAATGCTGTTTTTGTGGAGGTTGACACTGACAGAGATGGGAAAATCACAGGTGAACAGGCACGGAATCTGTTCCTGAGTTGGAGGTTGCCTAGAGGTAGGGGCACTCTCTGGCGATGATCTTTTTTTCTTAAGCTAAATTTATGGGATTTTACCTTTTTTATTGAGAGATAGAAGTATGGGTTTTTTGTTCTGACTGCTCTTTAAATTACCTATATGATATGTATTTTTATATTTCTATGCATGAGGTCCTTGGATTGGAAATGAGATATTACAGTCTTGACTTGGGTAGTTTCAGCTGAAAGTTGGAACCTGATCTGTGCTTGTGCACAATATCTTAATCCCAGGGACCCACAACTTGCTATCTTCTCATTTACTTCACTCATACTTCCCCCCTTTCTTAAAGCTGATCATATTACCCCTTATTGTCTCGGCAAGGCAGAACTGATGCATATGAGTTCGTTTGGATCCTTTGAAAAATATTTCTAGAAATAATATTCCATGGAGATTGCTCATTTCCACCATTTGGATACAACCTTTGGGACGGAAATGAGTTTCTTGGAGTAATTGTTTTCTCTATTTTAAAGGTTAAAATAAAGAAATTTGGATCCATACTCTTGCCTTAAAAAAAAAAATTTCCTTCCAAATCTCCCCGTCACGGAGCCGAAAAAAGAAATTGAGCTCAGCTTAACATGGGATGGTGCACAAACAAAACATAACTCGTACCCCAATGGAAACCCTAGCCCCAACAACCATCTATTGTCCTCTCTCTCTCTCTCTCTATGTGTATATATATCCAAGCATAGACCCCACTCTCTCCCACTGCCTTAACCACACCCGAGCTCTCTGTCTCTCTCTCTCTCTCTGTCTCTCCCCCCTCTCTCTCTCTCTCTATCTATATTCAAACCATACCCTCCCTCACTATCCTACTGCCCTAGCACCAGCTGAACTCTCTTTCTCAAGCTAAAAGCAAGGGGTTCTCTCTCACGCTCTCTGCAGTCAGGGTTGCCGTGTAGAAGACCTCATTTCCTAATATATCTTATTTATTTATTTATTTGCTTTTGCTTTTAATTTCGTCCATGTATCGTATCATTTGACCATGATTATTTTTATTTTTCATCTCTGCTTTGATGTGATTTTTATCAGATTTTAAGTGTATCTTTTACTTGATTTTGTTTTTGTTGTTGTTGGGTTTCTTGCATTAGATACTTTCGTATGGGCTGTTGCCATAGAAAGGATTTTGCCTTTTCTACCATCTTATTGCTTGTGTGTTGCTTTTAGTTGAATATTGGCTATGGTTTTGGGTATTTGAATGTCAATGCTAATATGTATGTATATGAGCTCCATGATCTTGTCTTATTGTGGTGCCCAATGCCACTTGGGGTTTTATAACTTTTTTTCTTTTTCTTTTCCTGATCCAAACATAGAAATGTATCTTCCAGGTTGCATCCATATGTTATCCAAACAGCAGAATTCCATTTTACAAGAAATACTTCTCCGAGAAATATATTTCAAAGGAAATAGATATCTCTAGACAATATTGTCAGAGATCCAAATGTCCCCTAATACCAGAAACTTTTATTTGATGCAGCTGGAACACTTTTAAGCATTTTGTTTCCTTGCTGTTGCATTATACTAACTGAGCTTTTTGTTTATGCTCGTTTTCAGAGGTCTTGAAGCAGGTTTGGGACTTGTCTGACCAGGATAATGATAGTATGCTTTCGCTAAAAGAGTTCTGCACTGCCCTATATTTGATGGAGAGGTACAGAGAAGGGCGCCCGCTTCCTGCAGTTCTTCCAAGCAGCATTAAGTTTGATGAAGCACTGTTACATACTGCTGGTGGTCAACAACCTGCAGGCTTTGGCGGTGCTCCATGGCGGCCTTCTCAGGGTATATCTAAGGAACTTTATTTTTACAAATTCTCGTTAGCAATAATTACTGTTGTTGAGGATTGCCATTATAGACATCCATAATTAATTAAAGAGGGAGAAATAGAAATTTCACAAATAATAGGGGCCGGCTTATTTTGCAGATAAATTTGTTTGCAGGATTTCCATTCTGATAAAAAAGAAAAAAGGAGATGGGGTGGTCTTTTCCATTTTTTGCTTTCTTGGTGAACTCTTGATTAATTGGTTATGCTTATGAGAGAGAGATTTCCAATTCACAGTTCGTTGATGGCTTTTTCACCAAATGGATTCTTCTTTTTAGGCCTGCCACCGCAAGCAATGCCTGGAATACGACCTGCAATGCCAGTTCCTGGGGTAAGAGCATCTAACCAATTTCAAACCCCTCAACCTGATGGAGTCGGTGCTACTCAGCCCGTGCAACAGAAGTCTAGGGTGCCAATACTGGAGAAACATCTTGTGAACCAGCTAAGTCGGGAGGAACAGAATGCTCTCAATTCTAAGTTCCAGGAAGCCACTGAATCAGAAAAGAAGGCATTTTTCATTCCCTGGACTCCTTTTAGTCTTTTGGCGCACTTATAATTGAATATGCATTCTTGTGAAGGACCATTTTCTAACTAGTGATAATTAAAATATGTGCTGTTTCTACTTCATCTCATTTGGATCCCTATGAATTGACCTCTCTTCTATTTGAGAAAAGAAATAGCTGTGGACGACCAAAATATTCAGAGCCATTTGGGAATATGATCTTGTGTAACATTCGCCTTCTCAACACGTGTTTCTCAGATCCTCTTTTTGTACACATGGAAGGATCTGACTTTTACCCTGTAATTGAATGAAAGGTGGAAGCATTGGAGAAAGAGATAATGGATTCAAAAGAGAAGATCGAGTTTTATCGCACCAAGATGCAAGAGCTTGTGAGTGTATTCCTTTAATGTTAGTTTTGCTTTACCATCTTATCCAAGACTTGATTCTTGCAATTTTTTGTTCTCCGAGATGAATTATCCTATTTTATCTTTTTATGGGCTGCAAATAATTGGGATAAGGCCTGGATGATGATGATGGGTACTTGGGAGGTTTTCGCTAATTGATACTCTTTTAAGGATTATCAGATTTTTAGATTTGAGGAAAACAATGCATTCTTTGTTTGATTAGTTCTTCTGCGGTTAAAGGGAAAAAATTCATTAACACTCGTACTACTACTAAGAATATTGAGGAGCTCTTGGTGGTGTACATGATACTACAAACTTTTCATTTATATTGCAATTCTTTGAATATCAGCATAATGTATACCATATATGGTAGTCCAAAGGACATCCAGTATATGTTCTTCACTATATTGCATGGACATGGGTCAATGTGTCAATATCAGACGCTGATACAGACTTTTGGATTCTTGATACCTTAGTTGGCTGATCCACATACACTATTGAAGATGTATATGTGTCTACTTAAATAAAAGAGAAGATCTAGCCTATAAAATGGTGTAGTTGAGTAAATCAGAAGAATCCATAAGAATCTGTGTTGGTATGTGTCTCAATACATGTCAAACATGGGTACAGAACCCAAGGAGAAGAATCCATATAACATAGGTTTTTGATGATGGACAGCGGAGATTATCCGTTGTGGGACTGACCAAAACAGGCATTAACTGAAGAACATCAAATTTCCATCATCTGTTGTCAGCATTATACAGTAGATGCCCCCTGTGGAATACTGCATACCTAATCCTTTGGAATATGGCACATTCTTCCTTGAATATTTCTGTGAATGTGTTGAAAGGCAAAGGAAATCTTGATCAACTTCTCTTGGACTATTTTTGCACTGTCATGTTTCCAGAGAGTTCTGAGATAAATATCCTTGTTCTTTGGAAATTGGAAGCCTCCACCTTAAGGGATGGATCCGCTGATGATCAGATGAAATAATGCAAATGGTCGAAAAATAAAAACATACATAAATAGTAAAAAAGGAAAAAATGATTTAAAAGAATTAAAGGGCAAAAGATTAAAAATAAAATTTTGTAACTAAAAATTAAACAACTAAACAAAACATAACCTTTAAAGAAACAAAGAAAGAATAGAGAAAACAGAAAAAATCTACAGATAAATAATGGGGGTATCTAACAAAAGAATGGAAAGGGATAAACTTTCTTTTAGGTAGATAGGCATGCATGAATGCACTTTCAATATGCGGTATTTGAAGGTTGTCACTTTATTGAGTTTGTTGATCTTGAATTTGATCTAAAAACTGTGTTTGGGAATGCATATTCTACTAGATTATTTGAGACAAAATAAGATTGCAATGGCTTACTGTATTCTTAGAATGGCTTGATAGCATCTTTGAGAGATGCCGGGAGCAAGAGTAATGTACTTGATTTTTTTGAGATAATAACCGATTAGGGGTTACCATATCTATTGTATTAGATCACCATCTAGCTTGAGCAATTTTATATAATTTTGTATTATTTACATACTTTTATGGCAATCAGGTGCTATACAGAAGCAGGTGTGATAACAGACTAAACGAGATTACTGAAAGGGCATCTGCTGATAAACGTGAGGTAATCCCATTCTTCTCTGATATATTCATCTCTGATAATTATTTAACTGAGAGAAATATTGTGGCTGGCAATTTGTTACTTGGCTTTGTTTTCTTGATAAATTGATTACTTGTCTGCGTTGTAAACTAGTCACAGTAAAGCAGGAAATATGGAACTGATTTTGACGAGGACATTGTGGTCTTCCCTTCGACAAATTAATTGGTTTTCTTTATTTACTATTTTGAGATATTTATCCTTTTTTGAATTTAAAGTGTACTTAAATAGCATTACCCTTCTAGGGTCCTAGTTGATATGGATCATTGTAGGCTGTCACTAGTTTCTAGGATCCTAGAAATGATACACCAAACTCTGAATGTCTGGGAAGCCTTTTGAGGTCAAGGTTAAATATATTTGCGCATATTGGGTTGTTAAATTTTAATCTCTAATATGAAATTATATTGATTCAAATCTGGGAAAGAGGTAATGGAATCTAATATGAAATTATATTGATTCAAATCTGGGAAAGAGGTAATGAAGAACTTCCTGAATTTATTAGTTTCTATGTTATAAGAACTTGGGCCTTCCTAATGTAAAATTAAAAGAGGTTTCATTCCTATCCTGTTAATGTGTCAAAAAAAAGAAGAAGACACGGTTGAGTCTATGTAGAAACGAGTCCCCTCTTAAAAATCTATTTTTGAGATGGATTTTTGGACCCAGTTTTTTAAGGACATATAAACTAAATATGGAGATTATGAATTTGAAAAAATAAATAAGTTTTAAAATTGAAAATAATAATTTTATGAAGAAAACATTTGGACCGTTAGATTTAACTGTGTTTAGATGGACCACCCATTTGCATCAATCTTTGAGATGGCTGCTTTGTACCTTGGGGGACACAAATGTAGAAATGCGTCCCCCGACGCATGAGACAATTTTCCCAAAAAAACTTGTGGATCTGGGGAATAAGTTGATATCCCTACTTGCAGCTATGTTTCCGAAAAAAAAAAAAATCTTACAAAGGACATCCATGTGATCAAGTGCTATATCCCACTATGCCTTTGTTATTTTTGGAGGACAATTTCTAACTAGAACTCGGCCTGGCCAACAATCGAAGTGAAACCAAACCTGTCGGTGAGAAGACAAAAGGATGTATATTTGTCATTTCCACAGGTTTTAGATTGGTTGTGGTGAACTTCTACGTTTCTGTTGAGTGGTGATGTTCTTATGTAGGCTTATTTTCTTCTGTTTTTTGAGAGATTTTTTTTTTTTGAGAGACTTATGTAAGCTTATTTTCCCATGCTTTAACTGGTTCGAGTCGCTATTTATATAATTATTCAAAGAAAAACTGCCGTGAAACACTGTAATTGCATCGTAAAAGCTTTATGATGTTTTGTATCGAACTTTCTCACTTGTTCAAGCATTATTTTTTGTTTCTTCTGAAAAATAGTAAACTACGAATTCTAGTGACAGCTGTGGGAGTTGAATCCATGCCCTGTCACTTGTTCAAGCAATTGTTTCCTCCCTGAAAATTTATCCATATGAAAGAGTATGTCTTATAATCTTGAAAATCTCAGGTTGAATCGCTTGGCAAGAAATATGAGGAGAAATACAAGCAAGTTGGAGAATTATCAACTAAATTAACTTCTGAGGAGGCTTCATTCCGTGATATTCAGGTATTTTATCGTTTAAGCTATTGGTCTCCGAGGATTTTATCAGGAAAATACTATCTTGAGATTTATGTGGCTCTATTCTATGAGTACATCCTATCTGTGTGTAGGAGAGGAAGATGGAGCTGTATAATGCAATTGTTAGCATGGAAAAAGGTGGAACTGCAGATGGAATTCTTCAGGTAAGTTATTATGGTTCTGCATATGGAAACACTGACCCCAATATATGCTATAATCTAATGGGAAGCAGTTATTGAATAGGTCATTGGTGTCCGTTTATATGATGGATGTTGTCGGAGTAGGTCCACCATTGGGATCATATCCTATACTCGTGGGTCCAACTCTGTCTTCATTCTTGATGTACACCATTTTGATTGGGTGGTGATGACAATGGAGTATGAATTTGACACGGGTCATTGAATTTGAGCATCTTTAATATCTTGTCTAATTCTGCCTATCTGCTTCACTTTCCAGGTTCGAGCTGATCGAATACAGACAGATCTGGAGGAGCTAGTAAAAGGTTTGAATCAACGGTGCAAGCAGTATGGTTTACGCGTTAAGCCAACAGCATTAGTGGAGCTTCCATTTGGTACTTCTTATTGAATTATCTCTACTCTTATTAGTTCTTTTACCTCTGCATACCTTAGTTTTCATTTATGTTCTATATGACTGGTTATTATGAATTTTTCACACTGATTATATTTGGATTCTGTAATATCCACTTGATGAATTTGGTTATCCATTTTTATTTGACACTTGCTTTAAGGTGGTGACATCTATGTAAGAGAAAAAAGTCATCTGCGCATACTGGTGACATTTTTATGTATTATGCACACATGTTACTCTGGGCAGAAATGGTTGGGCTCAGAGCAGAATATTATTGCCATGTTGACCTCATCTGTGTTTTGTGGGCTTATTCTGTTTGAGCTTGGCAATGGTTATGGTTGCAAATGAGATTTTTTTAGTAATACCCGTAAGTCTTGAGTGAGGAATATTCATTTAGTGTTTTCTCTGAGGCATCTTTTCTGCCTGACTTTTCTGTTTAGTAGGCATGCAGAGTAAGAATCTTATGTTCTAGAAAAGCTACTGAACTTATTGGATTTGCTCCGAGTAGATTGGGTTAATCTTCCAAGGATGGAACCTTTGGTTTTAGTTGTCTATCACATTTCCTCATTCCATGTACTTATCTCTCCTTTATGTTATCCTCTTCTTTACTGCGGTAGTCATCTCCTTCCTGCTCTTGTTTTGATTGTAGCCACCTAACTTCTATGATCATTTCTCTATTGCTTTCTTTTCTGCTTTCATTCTTCTTTAACTTCTCTGCTCATGCTTTTTCTCTTCTACTTTTCCTCCTTCCATTTATTCTCTACTTTCCTATTTCTTTGATCGCCCTCATCTCTGCTCTTTTCCTTTTTTTGTCTTTTTCCTCTTCTTCTACATTCTGCTAGGATTAGTTCTATATCTTACAATTTTTTCCATGTATACTTCATGGCCTCTAGGGCATCGGGCATATTTTTGCCTTCCTTCCTTGTCTTGCCAAGTTTTCCGGCTTTCTCTACTCTCCTTTTATTTCATTGTATTCTTTGTTCTGGCCTCGTCTTATTTGCTGCGCTTTCAAGTTATATTGTCTGTGCCTCATCTCCTCATTCTCTACTTTTTTGTTGATTTCCTACTCTGTTTTCTAGTTTCCTTTGTACCTATAATTGGAAAAAGTTTATATAAGGTTGCAATCTTAAAATGTAGAATTAAAGATGCACCTCAAAAATCCATTGGAAAAGGTTGTTTTAATGTTGAAAAACTCTCTAATTGATCATCTCTCGAGACGTGTGAATATGAAAAAGATAAAAAGATTTTGAGTCCCAGAAATAGTGCATCTTGCAACACATTATCTAGACCGTCCATTTTCAAGATTTTCATGTTTATAGATCTACTGGATTTTACACATTTTTGGAGTTTAAAATTTTATAATTAGATATGAAAATGGATTGGCAGATAATCCTAAGAATTTTTTACACCAAAATTACATGTTATGATAAAATTTGGAGGTGCGCTTTAATTAGATTGTTTAAGGTTGCAACCTTATAGAAACCACACCCTTTATATATTAATATGTACTTATTGGTATGGATATCATTCCTTAAGAGTATGATCACACTAGTTATTTAATCTTGACAATTTAATATAGGTTTGTTTATTAGAAAGTGGCAGAAAGCAAGGCACAAGGTAATATAGCTCAGAACATTGTAGGTGATTGGAACTTTTGTCTTGAATTTATTGGGCTCTCTGGATGATACTTTTTTTCCCTCCTTGATAAGCAACAATTTCATTGTCAAATTCATATTGCAATGGGGTACAACATGACATCTGTGTAAAATGAGATAAATTTATTTTCTGCAATGATATAACAGTTCTTCTCATGGCAAATCTTGTATCTAGTTGAAGTTTGTTAAGACAGTTTTTCTTGATGATATTGTGCTTTATTTTTTGGTGTATCCTTGCACCTCGCTAATTTTCTTAACATGGATCATTTGTTAGGTTGGCAACCTGGGATTCAAGAAGGGGCAGCTGAATGGGATGATGACTGGGACAAGTTTGAAGATGAAGGCATGATTAACTACAATCTTTTGGCTTCTAAGATTATGCAAATAGTTCTGTATCTGCTTTTCACTTCCAGTTCCCATTTCTGATGAAAAGAAAAATCTGTGCACCATCTTAAATTTGGGGATCCCACAGGGCTATATTCTATATATAATATATCCTGTATATATAACAGTCCTTATTTAATATATCCTCTATATATAACAGTCCTTATTTTCATTATAAAAAGAAACAACAAAAACAGTCCTTATTTATATTATACTAATATTCTATATATGACTTTTCATTTTCTAAGGTGAATTAAACAATATTAGAGATGATTTTGCATCAACCTTTTGGCTTCTAAGATTATGCATATGGTTCTGTATCTGTTTGTCAGTATCAGTTCCCATTTCCGATGAAAATAGATATCTGCCTGCCTTCTTAAATTCGTAGATCCACTGGGCAACATTCTATATATAATATGTCCAGTACGCATAACTGTCTTTATTTTTATATTAATATTCTATATATGGCTATGCATTTTCTAAGGTGGTTTAAACAATGTGCAAGATGATTTTGCGTCAATAACTTAGTTGATATTTAGCCATAATGCATATTAGAACCAATTGTTTGTCTATTTCTTCCCAATCCTCTAAACAATGTTTGAAAACTTCATCTTATTGTGTTTTCTTTCAGGTTTTATGGCTGTCCAAGAGTTCACAAAAGAAGGAGACGTCGTTTCAGGCACTAACAAAACTTTGCCTCCTCTTGTTTGGGATGAGAAGAGAACGTTCGATGAGGTGGCATCTGTTGGGCCAACCACTAATGGCGATAGTAAGATGGACTCACCTTTGAGTATTAATCATCAGCGAGCCGTTGAAACCACGTCTTCCTATGCACATAGTGATGATGGATCGATAAAAAGTGCACCAGGGAGTCCTTTTGGTAGAAGTGGACTTGGAAGCCCATCACAAGAACTTCCGGCTTCACATTTTGGGAAGAGTTCCAGTGCTGATACCTCATCGGTTGCCAAAGAAATTCAGAGGTATGCTTTTGTTTTTTAATGGATACTAATGTTGCGTGGAAAAGTATATAGGACTCCAATGGACCATGGTATATGCTACTCGTAAGGGGCTTTACTCCTGCAGTGGAGATGAACTGTAGCTGGGACAATGCCTTGTCTAACACCAGGATTTATGATAGATTCCTTGTTTTCAGGATGCAATATCAGAACGTCATCGATTATTCCATATCTGTTGATGATTCGAATATATGACAAAATTGCATTATGGGTAGTGATTGCTTTTTAATTGGTATAAGCTGGATGAAGGTGCTTGCCTGTTTCATTTTTTATATCTTTCCCAAAGCAGTTATTGGTTATGCAAAAAATCACAACTATAGAGCAGTTTGACATCAATTTTGACACCTGTGACGTTTCTTAGTGTCTACTTTGCTTGTGTATTATGTCTGGCAAGGTTTTGACTGTGCGCTAAAATAAAGAAAAAGGGCGCTTTGATTACCATTATGGGTTCCATTTCTCATGCTTGTTCTTCAACCGTCATAATTATTTCCGTACTTGCCTAATGCCTATTGGATTAACACATGCAACTTCATGTTTAAGCAAATTAAACATTACATTTTTTTGTCAACTTCTTGTACTGAGATGGTTTTAACTAATAATCAATTCATCCTTGCCCCTTTTCTTCAAAAGGTGAGGGAGTACCTCTAAGTTTTGCTGGAAGATAAAATTCTGGTGTCAGAAATCGTATGATGGCTTGAAAATCCATTATCAACCCTTAATATAAAATTTAAAATTCCAAAATGGTGCCGATCAAGCGGATCTATAAACGCTTGAAAATCTTTAAAATAGATTGTCCAGATAATTTGTTACAAGATGCACTACTTTTAAGACTAGAAATTCTTTTCTTTTGTTGTTTTTTTCCTTATATCCATGTATCTCGAGGTTGAGATGATCAAGTGAAACATTTTTTGAACTTACTCTTTTGTACTGGATTTTTGAGGTGCACCTTACTTCTATAGTATAAGGATGCAACCTTATAAAAACTTTTTCCTTCTTGAAATAATGCTAGTAGTGTTATGTGGACTTATCCTTTTATAAATGCGAGTAGTAAGGGATAAAAATATTATCCTGTCCTGCAGTGACCATGGTGGAGCTGCGTCCACTCACTCCGGTGACAAATTTGATGAACCTTCCTGGGGTGCAACCTTCACAGATCCTAGTGATGATGTTGATTCACTTTGGGGATTTAATGCCGGTACCTCTAAGGTAAGCAAGTCTTCGTGCACCCTCTCTCTCTCTCTCTCTCTCTCACTCTGTCCCTCGCTCCCACTGTATGTTTCTTGATTTATTTTACTACTTCAAAATTTTATTGGATGCAGGATTCTGTACAAGACCACCAGAGGAAGGACCCATTCTTTGATGACATGGGGCTGAACCCCATCCGCACAGACTCCCTGCACGCCGACTCATTGTTCGGGAAGAAGACTGCCTTTCCATTTGGGGATTCGGTTCCTGGGACCCCTCTCTTCAACTCAGGCAACTCTCCAAGATTCAGTGAGGCCTCGGATGACCATGCATTCAATGCTTTTGCGAGGTTTGATTCTTTCAACCCAGGTGGTGGTCGTGAAAGCCTTGCTCGATTTGATTCAATAAGAAGCACCCGAGACTCTGATCAAAGCCGAAGTGGGTTTATGTCCTTTGATGATCATGACCCTTTTGCAGCTACTGGGCCTTTTAAATTTGACCCTCACACACCAAGAGGAGGTGCTTCTTCAGATAAATGGAGCTCATTTTAATCCATTTTGCACTGAGAGGGTGGTAGCATTTTTGTTTTCTTTATCCACCACCTTACATTTTTTTTCCTTCTCTTTTCAGTGTCGTCTTTTCTTTCTCTTGAGTTTGGGCTTATATGATGATTGAGTGGTGAGCATGTGTGATATATTTGTTATGTGTAGGAGCAGATGGTCTGCTGTGGTGACCACCACATTGTATTTGGTAGAGTTTGAGCTTTGGCGTGCCCATTTTGTATGACCATTTTCCTTGTTCCTATTATTTTTTCAATTCATATTTGATTTGTACTGCT